CTCAGACGAGAGAAGAAATATCTACGAATGGAAAAATAATCATTACAATTTATTTTCCTGTAATCTAGAAAAGTAAAAAAAAAAAAAAAAAAAAAAAAAAAAAAAAAAAAATCTTGATTAAATTTAGGGAATTATCTCAGAAAACAGAGAAGAAATATCTAAAGAACAAAAAAAAAATTGTGATCATAGTATTCATAAAGACACCATTACTGTTTTGTGCAACATGCGAAGGCACTTAGGATACTTAATATTGCAAGAATGTTTTTTTTTTGCGTTTTAAGAAAATATACTTTGTGAGGATTCGTAGTTAATGCCGCAGACAACGTATTTACATGTCTTTCGGGCACAGCAAGAAGTAATGGGCGTGGGAGGTGTGTAAGTAGATCGCTAATACAGAGCGAATATTTTCCCGATAAAATATACAATCGTAAGACTAATGAGTTTATTCAAGTTCTTTGCTACATTGCACACGCATATAGACATATACATCCACACACACACACACACACACACACACACACACACACATATATAATATATATATATATATAATATATATATATATATATATATATATATATATATATATATATATATATATATATATATATATATATATATATCACATACATAGACAGACAGACAGATCGATGGATAAATAGATAGGCAGGCAGACAGACAGATAGATAGACAGATAGATAACCATAAAATACGACATAATTATCGTTACGACAGACGCACAAAAAAACGGTATGAACTGCGCATACTAAGGCTGTGGCGCGGAGAAGCGGCGCTGGCTGCGGCCGGCGGTGACGGGGCCCTTCCCCCCTCGGCGGGCAAGCAACGGGCAATCACCGGCTCCTCTCGCCCAATAATTACGTGCCGAAACCAATATAGATGCAAATCCGGCGGCGGTCGGGCCACGGAGGCACCCCTGAATCACGCCGACTGACCACACGAGCATGTATGGTCGTCGTTACGGCGGGCGCACAATGCCAGGTAGGCCGAGGCCGCCGTGTACCTCCGTCGCCCAGAGCCTCCTCCTTCTCAATCACGCCCACGCCCTTCGGCAGCCCGCACAGGATGCAGAAGGATGGGCCAGACCTCGCCGCCACCGCCGCGCTTACCACGGCGATCCCCAAGGCCCCGAGTCAGCGATCCTCACGCAGCTTCACACAACAGATCGCACCCCCCTGGCCGCGTCTCCCACGAACCGCCGTCTCATGCATCAGCTGTTTTGCCCGAAGGTGGGGGTCGAGCCGCCGAGGACAGGGGATCACGGCCCGCACGCCACCGACACGTCACAACAACGGCGTAATGGAATTGGGCTGTCGGCCGCGGGAACACGTCCAGGCGTCCATTCAGCACGAAGCGGGAGGTCAGCGGAGCGTGGCCGCCCAGCGAGACATAACAAGGGATCACTAAATGATGCATTTCGCCCACAGACAGCAAGGCTTGCACATATATCATTGGTAGTACGCAGAACTCGGGCGAAAATGAGACTGCAGCAGCTGACAAGGGTGCCGTCGCAAATTGATGGCCGCTGAAACCGCATTGTTTACACTGGCACTAATAGCACGGCCGATAGCGATCTGGGAAAACAGAAGCTAATGAGCTACTGTGTATCCGTTTTGCGTACGCGGTGGCAGGGCGGACATTACAACTCACACGCATGCATAAGGACACGAAAGGAATTCATATTATATTTGAAAATGAAAACAGCCATATATATATATATATATATATATATATATATATATATATATATATATATATATACGCAAAGGATTCATATTGTATAGGAAAATGAAAACAGCCACAATTAGAATTGGAAAATTCATTTTTCATTTTCATTTTTGTGTACACGTTACTGTGTTTGTGCTTGTGTTCATTATATTATATATATTCATGTACATACACACACACACCAAACACACACACATATCACACATCCGCACACACACACACCCACACAACACATATATATAATATATATATATATATATATATATATATATATATATATACATATACATATATATGTATTTATATATATATAATATATATATATATATATATATATATATATATATAATATATATATATATATATATATATATATATGTATATATGTGTATTATATTATACATATATGCATACACAGACACATATATTGTGTGTATGTATATATATAAACAAATATGCATATATACAAGTATATATATATATATATAATAGATATATTAGTATATATGTGTGTGTGTGTGTGTGTGTGTGTGTGTGTGTGTGTGTGTGTGTGTGTGTGTGTGTGAGAGAGAGAGAGAGAGAGAGAGAGAGAGAGAGAGAGAGAGAGAGAGAGAGAGAGAGAGAGAGAGAGAGAGAGAGAGAGCGCAGCAGCAGCAAAGATGTCAAAATAAGAAGCGCCAATACCCACAATACCTATAATACGACCGAAAGAAACACAGTAATCCGAAGCCACAGACAACAGGGGATTCGGAAAACAAACTCCACACGAAGCTGCAGCAACTGGCAATCCTCTAAATAAGGAATTGGAATATCCCAATTACGGTTCGTATTATATGGTACCCAGGTATCATTACCACCTATACTATAAGCTACATAGCTATTATTACTGGTCTTATTACTCGCTCGGCGTTTTTTTTAGAGGACAGTAGTCGTTTCAAGTAGTGTAACTAACAAGAGTGAGTAGGTGTTGTTACCAAAGATGTCATTTTACGGGCAGTTGGGCACGACGGCCGGCAGTGTAGGTTAGGGGAGGAGCGGTTGGGGAGTGCGTGTTTCTTTTTGTCATTTTTCTTTGTTTTTTCTTGTTCTCTCTCTATTTTCTTCGTTTCTACTTGAACGCGAGAGGCAAGTAGCTACTGTGTAATAGTATGTTCGTGTGTAGGTTCAGTTAAAGTTTTAAATGCCAGTCGATTGAAATACATAGAAAATCGGCTCTTTTTTTCCGTCAGGCGAACAGCAACACCGTTATAACTCTTCGTGTCTTATACTCACGAATTGCTAAACATAGAACGGCATTCCAGCATCCCCATTTTTACGAACGCAGAATACAACAGCAGCATAAGTAAGTAAGTCCAGCCCAAGATTTATTCTCCGAGCTCCAGGAATATCCCGACCGAACCACATGTCTGCGCCGGCGTCGACTCGCGTGTAAACAGAGAGAGACAGAAAGCTATCACCTGATCCCATAAACATTTAAACCGATGCATTATCAGCTAAACTGTTGTCTGTCTGAAGCTACCATCCCCATTCTCCCATTCACCTGATGGACGCACGTTTGAAGGCGTAGATGAGGCAACGTTTATTGCTGTGATTTAGAGACACGTGGTAAATAAATAACGGCTTACTGGCGGTAAACGTTTTAAGGTTAAGCTCGACAGGGTGGAGAGAGAGAAGAGAGAGAGAGAGAGAGAGAGAGAGAGAGAGAGAAGAGAGAGAGAGAAGAGAAAGAGAAAGAGAAGAGAAAGTGAAAGTGAGGGAGAGAGAATATGTGTTTTCAAAATTGCATGTTATGATCAGTTTAAGTTCGAATCGGGTAGTTGATAACACCTTCCGCCTCCCCTTCCCCCTCCCCTCCCTCCCCCTAACTCTAATCTTTATCCTCTTCGTGAACTAAATCAAGACCACATATTCCGTCGAAACCAGTATTGTTTATGGTGAAAATAGCTGAGGTTAAACAAGCTGATGACAAGTCGAGCAGGCGCCAGATAATGTATACTGACATTGCAGACAACGGCTGATCACAGGAAGCGGCTAGCAATCTACTGCTTCATCCATCAGGGCGTCAGACGATGTGACCAAGCTGACGACGCTCTCGCAGGCGCCGCCTTTGATGTTCCGGCCTTAAATACGGGGAATGTGTCCTCGATCTCACCACGTGTTTGTGATTTTTTTCTTGTCCTCATTTTTTTTATGAGCTTCACAGAGACAAAGACCGCGCACACATACAGACAATCACAGAGAGAGAGACACACGCATACGCACACACGTATGTGTATCCACATATATACAGATAAAAACTCACTCCTGTTTGATCCGAAGTGAACTAGTTCATCGGAATAGCCCAATTCTATTAACATCATTTGATACGAACTTGTTTTTAATCG